CCCCTCCCCCTCCCCTCCCCTCCCCTCCCCCTCTGGGGTCAACAGGCCGCAGTCACGTGGCGCGTCTGGCCCGAGTTTCCTCAGCTGGAGTGGGGGGTGCGGGGAGCAGAGTGCGGCCCCCCGACTTCCTGGAAAAGGAGCCCCCGGCTGCTGCCCCGAGGGGGGTGGGGGCGCCCTGGGGGGCACAGGAAGCCCCCCTCCCACCTCGGGTCAGTGTGTGACCACCACGCCCAGACCACCCCAAAAACGTGGGTGTGGGAATCCCAGGCACAGGGAGCCAGACTCCCCGAACCCCGAACCCCTGCGGGCACACAGGTCCCCCCAAGGGCGGGCGGATGTGTCATCTATGCAAAGTCCCAGCTGCACACCCGGAAACAGTCACACCCAGACACACAGACACACACCAGACACACACACAGACACACACACACACTCACACACAGACACACACCAGACACACACACAGACACACACACACACTCACACCCAGACACACAGACACACACACAAACACACACCCAGACACACAGAGACACACATGCACACACACACACACACTCACACACCCCAATCCCTCTTCTGGCATGGGGAAGTGCAGACTCACATGACCCGAGAAGGAGGAAGAATTGGGGGGCAGCCCTGGGAGCAAACCGCATCAATCTTTCCCTGTCCACTTCCCATCGCAGGGAATAAAGTCTCCTGGACACCCCGACTCCAGCCCAGAAACCCAGCACCTCTTCCTGACCAGCTGCCCGGCCGGGGTCTGGCCTGGGAGGGCGCCCGCCAGGGTGAGTGTGGGGAGCAGAGGGACACAAGGGAGGGGGGGACGCAGCTTCAAGGTCACACCCTACCCGGACCCCCTGGATGGAGTCAATGCGGGCAGGACTCATTTGTCACCCCAAGCTCAGCGCCAGTGCTCATGCCTGGAATCCCAGGAGGCTGAGATGTGAGGATCACAGTCCAGGCCAGCCCGCGCTGGAAAGTCCCTGAGACTCTGATCACCAATAAATCACCAGAAAACCAGAAGTGGTGCTGTGGCTCAAGGGGTAGAGCGCTGGCCTTGAGCTGAAGAGCCGAGGGACAGCGCCCAGACCCTGAGGGCAAGGCCCTGCAATGGCCACTGACACCAGAGCAGAGCTGGAGAAGTTGGGGTGTCCCGAGCTCGCTCCCCAGACCTCAGCCCAGGCCCCACATCCTGTGTTCTTCTCCTCACAGATGGCCGTGTGGGCCGCGCTGCTGCTTCTCCTGCTGCCTTCGGCTGATTGCTTTGCCCCGGCCCCTGCCCTGCGGTTTGTGGCGGTGGGGGACTGGGGAGGGGTCCCCAATGCCCCCTTCCACACTGCTCGGGAAATGGCTAATGCTAAGGAGATCGCCCGGACCGTGCAGACTCTGGGTGCCGATTTCATCCTGTCCCTAGGGGACAATTTCTACTTCACCGGTGTTCACGAGGCCAACGACAAGCGCTTCCAGGTACGTGCTCCGTAGTCTGGGAGGGGGGGTGTGGGGCGAGGGGGGGGTACCCCAGTCCAGTCACCACTCAGGAGGCTGAGATCTGAGGATCGCAGTTCAAAGCCAGCCAGGGCAGGAAAGTCCGTGAGACTCTGATCTCCAATGAATGACCAGAAAACCAGAAGTGGCGCTGTGGCTCAAGTGGTAGAGCGCTGGCCTTGAGCTGAGGGGCAGCGCCCAGGCCCAGATTGCTACCTGTAATTCTGTAGAGCAATGACTTCCCTGTTTGCTAGGAGCACTGGGGAGCTGTTGGCCCTAATGGAGGGGTGCCCTCCCCGCCTCTCCTACCCTAGGAGACCTTCGAGGACGTATTCTCTGACCGTGCCCTTCGCAACGTTCCCTGGTACGTACTGGCTGGAAACCACGACCACCTGGGTAACGTCTCGGCACAGATCGCCTACTCGAAGATCTCGAAGCGCTGGTGAGAATCCTTGCCCGGGCACCCGTGGCTCACGCCTGTTAACCTAGCTACTCAGGAGGCTGAGATCGGAGGCTGAGATCTGAGGATCTTGGTTCAAAGCCAGACCAGGCAGGAAAGTCCATGAGACTCTTGTCTCCCATGAGCCACCAGGAAACCGGAAGTGGCGCTGTGGCTCAAGTGGTAGAGCACTCACCTTGAGAGTTAAAAGATCTCAAGGACACCACTCAGGCCCTGAGTTCAAGTCCCACCACTGACTAAAACAAAACAAAAAGGAAAATTCACTCACAACTTCTGTTCCCTTTCCAGGAATTTCCCCAGCCCTTACTACCGCCTGCGCTTCAAGATCCCACGGACCAATATGTCTGTGGCCATCTTCATGCTGGACACGGTGATGTTGTGTGGCAACTCCGATGACTTTGTCAGCCAGCAGCCGGAGATGCCCCAAGACCTCGCCCTGGCCCGCACCCAGCTGGCCTGGCTCAAGAAACAGCTGGCAGCAGCCAAAGAAGACTTCGTGCTGGTGGCCGGCCATTACCCGGTCTGGTCCATCGCTGAGCACGGCCCCACCCACTGCCTGGTGAAGCGGCTGCAGCCGCTGCTGGCCGCACACGGGGTCACAGCCTACCTGTGTGGCCACGACCACAATCTTCAGGTAAGGGCCTTGTGGGGAGAGGGGGAAGACAGAGAACTGGGGCGGAGATCGTGGCTTGGAACCGAGATCCTCAAATCTCAGCTTCCTGATTGGCTAGGACTACAGGTATGAGCTAAGGCACTGGTACCCAGCCTTTTCAAACTCTGTGCCCTTGGGGATGGGGATAGTTCAGGGGTAGAGGGCTTGCGAGTCCCTTAAAAGCCCTAATAAACTCAGAGGGGGTGGCTTGTGCCTCTGTAGCCCCAGCTACTCAGAAGATAGAGATGACTGGAGGGGAAAGGAAATACTGAGGTTCAAGGCTAAGTAAGGCAAAAAAGTCAGTGAGACTCCATGTCAACTAAATAACTGACCATGGGGAGATACATCTGTCATCCCAGCTGCAGAAGTGCCAGGCCAGCTTGCATCAACTCAAAATCTTTGAAAAAGCCAGTTGCTTTGACTCATGCCTATAATATTAGCTACTTAAGAGACTTGAGATCTGAAGATCCCAGTTCAAAGTCAGCCCTGGCAGAAAATTCCATGAGACTCTTATCTCCAATAAACTACTTGAAAAAGCCAGAAGTGGGGCTGGGGGCTGTGGCTCCAGGGGTACAGTGCTGGTCTTGAGTAGAAAAAGCTCAAGGACTTCAAGCCCCAGCACTGGCGTAGAAAAAAAAAAGATACATGTGACCCCCATCTCAATTAATAGGTGAGTTTGTTAGTTGTAATAATAGTGTCGTGATTGGGGCTGGGAAGGTGGCTCAGTGGTAGAGTGCTTGCCTTGCATGCATGAGGCCCTGGGTTCGATTCCTCAGCACCACATAAGCAAAAAGAAAAAAGCCGGAAGTGGCGCTGTGGCTCAAGTGGTAGAGTGCTAGCCTTGAGCTGAAGAGCTGAGGGACAGCGCCCAGGCCCCGAGTTCAGAGATAGTTTGGGAATCAACACAAGATCCTACTTGAAACAATACTAAAGCTGGGCTGGGAAGGTGGCTTAGCGGTAGAGTGCTTGCCTAGCATGCATAAGGCCCTGGGTTCGATTCCTCAGTACCACACACACGCAGAAAAAGCTGGAAGTGGCACTGTGGCTCAAATGGTAGAATCCCAGAAGCCTTGAGCAAAAAATCAGGGATAGTACCCAGGCCCTGAGTTCAACCCCCAAGACTGGCAAAAAAAAAAATACTATAGATACAAGGACCCACAATGTGACTCAAGACAGTAGAGTTCTTACCAACAGGCCTTGAGTTCAAATCCTAGTACCTCGGACCTCCTTCCCAAAGCCTAATACCTACAGTTTGCCAGTGCTCACTGTGTGCTGCTACACCTGCAGGAGGAGGAATTGAGGGATCCTGAACCACTTGCTCAGGTGCCCTTGTAGCCGTGCATCTGAGCCAGGCGTGGTGGGTCTGGAAGCTTCCATAACCCTGCTTGCTCTCCCAGCTGCCCCCGCCCCCTCTGTCTCTCAGTATCTGCAGGATGACAACGGCGTGGGTTACGTACTGAGCGGGGCAGGAAACTTCATGGATCCCTCCGTACGACATCAGCGCAAAGTCCCCAATGGCTACCTCCGCTTCCACTACGGGGCCGAGGACTCTCTGGGTGGTTTTGCCTACGTGGAGATCAGCCCCAAGGAGATGAGCGTCACCTACATTGAAGCTTCAGGAAAATCCCTCTTCAAGACCAGCCTCCCCAGGCGACCCCGGCCCCGCTCCTCCAAACACTTGGGGGCCTGAGCCATGCAGGGCCTGGAGGGTGGGCATTATGGGGGACCCTGCCCCCCCTTGAGGGAAGCCACAGATACCTTCACATAGGAAAGGTGAGGAGCTTTTTCTGAATCAAGTATTATTATTATTTTTTGCTGCCACTCAATAAAGAAATAGTTGTCAAGGTTACGCTTGTGCCTGGATTTTGTTCAGAAACCAGGGCTACAAAATTTGGGGACCCTGGATTACTGCCCCCCTCCCCTCGCCCCCAACCTCATCCCTTTCCAGAATGAGCTGGAATCAAATGAAGATGTGGTGTGTGTGTGTGTGTGTGTGTGTGTGTGTGTGTGTACACTGGAGCTTGGATTCAAATTCAGAGCCTGAGTGCTGTTCCTGGGATTTTTGTTTTGTTTTGTTTTGTTGGCTCAAGGCTGGTGCTTTACTCCTTGAGCCACAGCGTCACTTGGGAGCTTTTAGTTCATGGGAGATTAAAGAGTCTCACAGCTTTCCTGTCCAAGCTGACCCCAAACAACAACCCCTCCTGATTAGTTAGATTACAAGTGTGTCTTCAAGCCTGCTTTTTTTGTTTTGTTTTGTTTTTGTTAGTCATGGGGCTTGAACTCGGCCTGAGCATTGTCCCTGAGCTCTTCAGCTCAAGGCTGGTGCTCTACCACTTGAGCCACAGCGCCACTTCCAGTTTTCTGAGTGGTTTATTGGAGGTAAGAGTCTCATGGATTTCCTGCCTGGCCTGGCTTTGAACCTTGATCCTCAGATCTCAGCCTCCTGAGCAGCTAGGATGACAGGTGTGAGCCACCGGCGCTCAGCTTCAACCCTGCATTTTGCTCCTTCACTGGAGATGAAGAGAGTTTCTTGGACTTTTGTGCTGGGCTAGCTTCCATCCTAGATCCTTCAGGGTGCAGCCTCCCTGTCGCTGGGATGGCTGGTGCCTGCTTTGGTTTTCTTCCTCCTACCTGAAGATCTGCCCTGTCTGTCAGCCGTTGAGAGACTTTTCTGTGGCCACCAGACATCCCGATCCGGCCTCAAACCACAAAGCAGCTGTTAACTGATGGTCCCTTGGATGGCTTCCAGCGTGAAAGAACGCTGAAATAATCGTCTGGTACATTGTTTCCTATGTGTGTGCAGACATGTTTCTGGATAAACAGGATTGACTCCTAGCCTCAGTACCATTTGTTTAGACACCCCCCCCCCCCCCCCCGCTGGCAATTGAGAGAAGAGCCTTGTGCATGCTGGGTAATTGCTCTACTCCTGTGCCATACCCCCCCCCAGCTCTTTATTTGATGGCCACAGAGACTGCACCTCAAATCACTCATTAGCTCCTGGCTGGTTCACTTGTGAGGTGGATTTTTGTTTTTTTTTCAATCTTTCCCCTCATACTAATCGACCTGCCATGGCTTGCCCTGAACTAAACCTTTGTATGTCTGTGAAACTAGGCATGTAGGGAAATTTCTAGAACTATTATTGCCGGGCTAACTCCTTAGGATGAGACTTTCCCTGCTCCCTGCCCCACGTGCTGGGTTGGGTTGGCGCCCTGGGCCTCAGAAGAAGGCAAGCTGGGCAAAAGCCACGCCTTCTACCGTCTAGACACGCCCCCTTGCTCGGCCACTCCCACCGCAGAGCCGCAGGTCAACTCAGAGCCACGCCCCCTCGTGCTGCACTACGGCCCTACAGCTGAGACACGCCCCTTCCATCGAGCCACGCCCCCTACCATCTAGCCCTCTGCGGAGTCAGTCACATCGTGGCCACACCCCTACTTCTTAACCACGCCCTACAACAGAGACGTGCCCGCTAGCGCGGTGCCACTGTACTCTGGAGCGCTGCAGCTGAGTCACGCCCCATGTTTAAGCCACGCCCCTGCCTCGGAGCCACGCCCCCAGCCCCTAACCACGCCTCCTCATGCTCCCTCTCTGGGAACAAGGAGTAATGTCCACCCGCTGACAGCCCGAACCACCAGCGCCCGGCGATTCAGACACTGTCCCTTGAGCAGCTACAGGGCAGAGACCCCACTGTTTGGCTCCAGCTGCCACCAGCCTCGCTTAGATCAATCTAGAAAGACCATCCCAAGTGTGGTAACCACGCCCCTTCCATTTGCTACTCTCACGATGAACCAAAGCCATCTTCCCAAAGTGCCAGCCCTCTCATAGCGTGTGCCCAGCTGGCATTAGCACCGGCTGGGGGCAGAGCTGTAAAAACAGCATTGTTGTGCAGCAGGTGTTTCAAGTCCCCTGTGGCTGGGGCGGGCCAGGCGACACCAGTGGCCCTGAGAGTCATCCCAGATACGCTGGAGGCTGAAATCTGAGAATTGAGGTTCAAAGCCAGCCCGGGCAGGAAAGACTGTGAGACTCTTATCTCCAAAAAACCACTAGAAAACCGGAAGTGGCGCTGTGGCTCAAGTGGTAGAGCGCTAGCCTTGAGCTGAAGAGCTGAAGGACAGCGCCCAGGCCCAGAGTTCAAGGCCCATGACTGACAAAATATAAAGCCAGAAATGGAGCTGTGGCTCAAGTGGTAAAGGGCCAGCCCTGAGCAAAAAGAAAAATATAAGGGACAGCACCCAGGCTGTGAGTTCAAGCCTCAGTAGGATTTACTATGCTGCCTAAACCGCTCTTGAATGAGTGCAATTAAAAAAAGAAAACAAAAAAAATACTCCTGCTTCAGTCTCCTGAGTGGCTGGGACTACAGGAGTATGCCATTATTCCCAGCTCAGACCTTCAGTCTTGGGGAATCCAGGCAGTTCGCTAGGGACCTCTCCCCACTGACTCAGCTGCTCCTGGCTAGCAAGGGATTGAATCACAGGTCACAGCGGTCCGCCGGCTCCATTCCCACGGCCCAGAGCTCAGAAAGGAGAAGCGACAGCACAATGTCACGCGGGGAATGAGTAGCAGAGAGAACTGCAGCCCAGGCCCCTCCACCTGAATTCCAGAAAGCAGCAAGCAAAGCAGGATAGGTTAGCAAGGCAGAATGGACAATGGCCAGCCAGGCGCTGGGGCTCACGCCTGTCATCTTAGCTACTCAGCAGGCTGAGATCTGAGGATCACAGTTCAAAGCCAGCCCGGGCAGGAAAGTCTGTGAGACTCTTATCTCCAATAAACCACCAGAAGTGGTGCTGTGGCTCAAGTGGTAGAGCGCTCACCTTGAGCTGAAGAGCTCAGGGACAAGGCTCAGCCCCAGAGTTCAAGCCCCAAGACGGACAAAAACAAACAAAAAAAAGAATGCATGAATGAACATTGGCCAGCCTGGGGGGTGGGGTCCAGCTGGGCTAAGAAGGACATTTATTTTTTTTCTAGTACTGAAGTTTGAATGAAGGATCTCTCTCTGTCTCTAGGCTTGCATAACTGCTTCTCTACCACTTGAGGTAAATCTCCACTTCCAGTATTTTCTTGGTTAATTGGAGATGAGTGTCTGGAGGCTGGGAAGGTGGCTCAGTGGTAGAGTGCTTGCCTCGCATGCATGAGGCCCTGGGTTCATTTCCTCAGCACCACATAAGCAGAAAAAGCCGGAAGTGGCGCTGTGGCTCAAGTGGTAGAACGCTAGCCTTGAGCTGAAGAGCTGAGGGACAGCGCCCAGGCCCAGAGTGCAAGCCCCAAAACTACCACCACCACCACCAAGAAAAAGTCTCTGTCTGCTCACGCCTGTAATCCTAGCTACTCAGGAAGCTGAGATCTGAGGATCACAGTTTGAAGCCAGCCTGGGCAGGAAAGTCTGTGAGACTCTTATCTCTCATAAACTACTCAGAAAAGGCCAGAAGTGTCACTGTGGCTCAAGTGGTTGAACTCTAGCCTTGAGCACAAAGAGGCTTAGGGACAGCGCCCAGGCCCAGAGTGCAAGCCCCAGGACTGGCAAAAAAAAAAAACGAAGAAGAATTATCTGGAGGCTAAGTAACTAATTGAAAACAAAACCAAGAGCTCTGTGTGTGTGTGTGTGTGTGTGTGTGTGTGTGTGTACACACCATTCAGTAGAAGCCCCAAGTTGCAAAGGAAAAGAACAGGAGCAGTGTGGTTCTGTCCTGTGTGCATAGAAGTTGCTGATTCCAGGGTCACACCGCCACCTAGTGGACCTTCTGGAAAGTCACCATTGGAACATAAATGGCCAACCCTCCCCCTCTACCCGCCAAGTGAAATAGTTCTTATCAAGATCCATCAGTGACCAAACTCTTGCCAAAGTCAACAGCTATTTCTCTTCATCTCCCTTAGACTCTCAGCACTGGGTAAAATTTTCTTCTAGAAGCTTCCAGGAAAGCATACACACACACACACACAGCTTTCACCTCTTGCCTCACTGGCTGCCCAGACTCTCCTGGGCACTTCTCTGGCTAAACTCTTAAAAGGACACCCCTGATTTCCTTCCAAGCCCTTTTTCTTCTCTATGCTTTGATCCTCAGGCCAGCAACCCAGTAACTTCCTTGACCCCAAATCTTGAAGTCTTGGGTCCTTGAAATCATCTCTATAGGGCTGGGAAGGTGGCTCAGTGGTAGAGTGCTTGCCTTAGCATGCATGAGGCCCTGGGTTTGATTCCTCAGCGCCTCATACACAGAAAAAGCTGGAAGTGGCGCTGTGGCTCAAGTGGTAGAGCGCTAGCCTTGAGCTGAAGAGCTGAGGGACAGCGCCCAGACCCAGAGTTCAGGCCCCACGACCGACAAAAAAAAAAAAAAAGTGTTTCACAAACTTTCCTGTCCAGGCTGGCTCTGAACCTCAGATCACAGCCTCCTGAGGAGCTAGGATGACAGGCCTGAGCCACTAGTGCCCGGCTTAGTGACTCAAGATTCTATCCATGCCTGGTAAGTGGCTCTCATGCTTTTAATTCAGTTATCTAAGAGGCAGAGATCAGAAAGACAGCAGTTCAAGACCAGCCCAGGCAAAAAAGTTGGGGAAATGCCCATCTCAATGAATAAGACAGACATTGAGGTTCCCACCTTTGATCCCAGCTAATGAGAAGCACACATAGTGAAGTAAGGAGGTAAAGTCTAGCCAGCACCATATTGGCCACATCTTGTCTTTATGCTGGGGGAAGGGAGGCCCCCCCCCCAATCACCTGCCTCCCAGATAATGGGCATGCCTGGACCCCTGCAGGCAGGGGCAGGCACTTGGCTGATAGGTTACTGAATCTGTCAGTCCAATGCCTGGAACTGGGAATTTCCTGAGGATCTGCCCCCTGTGTGGACCTATTTAGG